CCTGTCACCTGTTCGTTTTGAGAAATATGCTTTCACGAATCCATTTTCTGGCAGAGCTGGCTCACAGGAGCGATGCATCTCTCGTGTCTGTATAGTAAATATAAAACTACTGCCATTAGCTGGATACTGCGTCTCAGCATATCTGCCTACCAGCGCGTCTTACATAACACATTATACACGGTGTTGTTTTATCGACACAAAACAAAAAATTGAAGGTTTCACGCCTGAAGCACTGACTAGCTGGAGCTACTGTCAAACTAATTCTTTAAAAAAGAAATGCATGTTTTGTTAGACTCCAACCATCGCCAGCTATGACTCATAAGGCTGTTCAGCTGTACGGATAAGTTGTGAACAAAAAAGTGAAACCTTGACCAACAATTACTGTAGGAAGTTTGTCAGCCGCGTTAAGATAAAAATGAAAAAATACATAAATAAATAAATAATAAATGGTGAGGGAGAGAAAGCAAGACAGACAGACAAAGAGAGATGATATAACCAAGTGAGAAGTGAAGTGAAGAGAGTCATGCTCTGCCTAGATTAGCACCACTGTGTTTAGCTTCAGGTCCTCTACTCCCACGCTCTTCCTCTCTTCTACCTTGCCTCCCTCCCTCCGTACCACCCTTACCGCATTTATCCACACATCAATCACGCATCCATCAATTTGACATCCATCTCTCCTCAACAGTCCAACCGCTATCCCCACCTAAACCCCCGCAGTCGGACCACTCAGCAGGGGGAAGAAGCCCCGGCATCAGCACCACCAGCTAAAGCCACCTGTTCTCCCCTCGCTGAAACCCCACTCTCCTCTTACATAAAGAGACACTTGCACTGTTGCAATGCAGCATCAGACGGTGTTGTGCAACAGCATTAAAAATACCTCAGGGTCAGTGAGGAGGAAAGTTGAAAACAGGATATCATCAGAGATATTCTGGTGGAGAGAATGCAAAAAAGAGTCGTGAGTGTGTCTGTCACTCGGAGGTGAGAGCACACCGTTCGACGCTCCCTTTGTGTGCGCTCTTCAGCAGAAGAGCTGAGAAGGGATATTGACGAGCACCTCAGAGAGAGCACAGGCACATTTCAACCATAGCCATTGCGGGGGTCTGCAAGCGCAGTGTCAGGACATGGGACGTGACTCTTGAAAGCGATTAACCTCCGGTCACGCTGTATCGCACAACCAAAATGGTAGAGAAGCGGTTGCCTTTTGGTGATCAATGTGTCCATATGCAACAAAAAAAACACACAAAAAACCCCCACATACATTTAATTTGGCAACTGCTCTCCGGTTAAACCAATGGCCCCCCCCTCCCCCCCCAACCGACTCTGGTGGCTCTCAAAGTAATACATCCTTTTATTGCAGGGCACAGTGCCAATCTGAGTCTTAAGTCTGTTGTCAGCACACCCCATTTTGTAGATACTACCTAATTCCATAAAGAAAGCCACACTAATGCGTCTGCTGCTGTTGGAGGTACTCCTGCAGCTTAGGTTGCGATAATGCCGGCAACAATTAAATAAGAACTACCGCACTCTACTTAAAATCCTCTCAGCTAAATGAAATCCAGCTCAAATATTTACTTCTTTCAAAATTCTATTATATCATCGCTGTATCTTCCCAAGAACTGGGACTTTAAAAGTGTCGCCATTAAATGAGGCCAAACCCTTTTTTCGAGGAACTCTGTAAACCATTAAATTCCATAAAATCCCCCATAATACCTTTTTTATGTCTTTGCAAATAATTACGCCAATCAAATTCACTCAGAACAAAGAAGCCAATCAGCATTTGGGATACATTCTCTAAAGTGTTCTCACAGTGACTGTAAAACAATTTGTGAATGGTTTTCACAATGTCGAGTCCCTAAGAACAGCGACGCTGTACATCATACCAATCGGCCCGTGGAGGAGGATTGTCTTGTTAATGAAGTGTGGAGTGGCGCCACCGAGGACTGTGTATGTCACCAGATTTACACCACAGTGGTCTGTGATTCCCTGCAGCTGTAAAACAATGAGGAGGTGATTGGAGTAAATTACACTGCAGTTGTCAACCTCCGGACCGCTCACAGCCATTTTATGGTGTCTCCCTCTTAGAAACAAATTGTTTCTCTCCCGTTCCCTGGCTCGCACATGCACACACAAACAGCCATTCTTCTGCTTTCCTCCCACACTCTCTTTATCTCTGTCTGATATTCTGTCTGCTGCCTTTTTTCAAATGTCAAGACACAACACAGGTACATGACCAACAAGTTAGTTATTAAGTGGCCATTCTTCTTTCATGCTCTTGTTCTTCTCTCACCCCAAATGTCATGATCCAAATACCAGTGTCTAACCAAATACACATTTCACAGATCCACACAGTCACCCTGAAGCAAACATGTGTTTGGTCTCTCCATTTCAAGGACAGAGATGTTTTCTTCACCAGGATCGGGGGGAAAGAAAGAAACTAATTAAACATTCATTCATCCAACTATCCATCCTAATTACCCTACTCAGGTTGCAGGTAACCCAACTGTCAAAGGCAGAGAGTCTCAGCAATGGCCAATCCATTGCAGAGCTTCTTCAAACATCAATTATGAATTTTAAAAGTGAATTATTTAAAGACACGGACAAATAAAAACAGCGCTGTGGTGTCTTACAGCAAAATGTCCTGAGTTCAAATCCACCACCCAGCTGTGAGCTGTCTGTGCAGAGTTTGCATATTCTCCCTGTGCTTGCATGGGTTCCCACCAGGTTTTCTGACCTCCTCCCAGAGTTCAAACGCATGCATGTTTGGCTAACTCGTGATTCTACATTGTGAGCATCAATGCTTGTTTGTCTCTATGTGTTAGACTGGCAATCTGCCCAGGGAGTACCTCACCTCTCGCCCTATGATGGGATAGGTTAGGCCCCACTGCTATCCTGAACTGAATAAGCAAAAACAAGAAGGATGGATGCTTAAGCCACAACCTGATTCTACTCCTCTGTGTCATAATCCACATTTTATTTGTGCAGTTTAAGCTGAAACACTTCTGTGTTTCTTTTATCAGTCTCAGGAGAGTATATCTATTTGTGGATGTTGCATGAAAATCTCTCAGGCTTGTGATTATTTTATGGGTATTCAATATTTATTGGGTTGCAGGGGACATTATTTCCATCAGGATGTGGCTGTGCAGACAATATTGGTCTTTTTATGGGATGTTCCAATAACAATAAAAAATACTCTCACAATTCCTCTTCCTTAACAATAAGATAGACTGATAGACTTTTTTCATATACATCTTAAGCAAAGTAAGAAAATCAGTTGAGCGACAGTCACCAAAAATAGAACAGCTAACTCGTCACGACGGGTTTTTTTAAACATCGCTGTTATTTTCTTATCTATAATAAAGGACTCATCATGCCGCCAGTGTCACTTCCTTTCTTTTTGCACCTCTCGTACTTTCACCTGTTAAAGATATATACCATTCTAGGAAATCAAGCCGATGTGCGGAAATGAGGAAAAAAAGAAAAATCCAATCCAAGAATAAACACATTTCTGCTTCTTAATATGGAAGAGCGAGAAATAGCTTCCTTTTTAGAGTGGCACTCGGGAGAGATGGTGTCGAATGTTACATAAGCTTAATTAATAATCACATACAGACACCCACATTTGCATGTACACACGCAGAAAGTGTATGAATCTGCACATGGATAATTAATTCACAAAATTTAAATGGCACAAACACGCAGGAGGCTGCACTAAAATAGCAAGAAGCCATGAGATACTGCACATCTTTTATCAGGTATTTGTGCCATCGGCTACAAAGAGCAAAAAAAAAGAAGAGAGGGCACAAGACAAATGACCAATAATGGCAGATTTATGAATTAATAGAGAAAAAGAAAGAAATGATGATAAAAATCAAAAGAATATAAAGGAGAGCGAAAGGCAGATGACTGGATAAAACACACCTTGACGTAGAATCAAAGGGTGAAATAAATAACAGATCGGGGAGTAAAGAAATCCTGATATATGATTTTCTTTATGAGAATATGAGTTTTTGATCATGAGCGAGATCCAAATGCCAGAAGGGAGACAAATCACTGAAGAGATTGAGAGTAGAGGAAGTGGGACAGAAGACATTCTGAAAAAGAAAGAAGGAAAGAGGCAGGAGAAAGATGGAAGAAAAATGGAGAGGGAAGAGAAAGAGAGATGAGTCGCAAAAAATGGAGAGGGTGAGGCGGAGGAGGAGGGGATGGGGTGTAGCAGAGGGGGTGAAATTGATTAAGGGGGAGAAACAATGAGAGTGGGGAGGAGGCGAAAAGGCGCAATGGGAGAGAGAGGCTGGAGACTGGAAACGACTTGAAAGGAAGGGATGAGGTAAATGCAACAGAGGCTGATAGACAGCCAGGAAGAGAAGACTAATTAATAGTCAAAAACTGCAGGGAGGCAGGCAGGTGTGCAGAGAAACCCACAGCAGGAGGGAATAAACATAGAGATGGATGGCTTCTCCTGCCTTGAATTACCTAACAAGACAGGCAGCTTTGGGATTTATCTCGTGACATATTGCATGACTATACATCGCAGAGAGATAAAAGCAGCAACAGCGCAGGAAGGCGGATGGGGGGGCTGCATAGTGCAGAGGGACACTGGAGAATGAGAGAAGCAAGGGGGACAAGCACTACCGTGAGGAAAAGGCAGAGAAGATCTCATTATCTAGAGGTGGGAAGAGGGTTTAGACATGAAGAAAAGCTAACAGGGGGATTTGCTCACACACATACCTGGCATTTCTGCAAGAGGAAAAGCACTGAAGTCGAACCACGAACAAAGTTTAATTACACAAATGGCTTATCACACTGCCGCCTCCCACCGCGCACACAGCGCTCAACAAACACAGTTCCGACCTTGAAAGTTTGCCACGGGTGTGGTTTAGACCACATGTTGTCTGATAAAAAAAAAACAAACAAGACACATTCCCTTTATCAGCCTCCCATTTATCAGCTCCACATCTACAGCCACCAGCACACTGAACACCTGTCTGTTTAGCCCTCACCATGTATGTGCAACAGTGAAGCGCCTCTGTTTGTGGATGTTGTTGTTGAGCAACATGCGGCGAAGCAGTCGCGGCGAGTTGCGTGGAGAAAGGCGGGGGGAGATGGAGGAGGGCGATCGCCGGTGTCCTCGCGGCCTCTCCGGCTGCAGCAGGTTCTCCCGCAGGATCTTCACCAGGTCTTCGTTCAGGCCGGAGTGTTTCGGCATGGGGGGCACTGCCAGGGTGTCCTGGTGGGTCACCCCCATGCCTGCCTGCTGGGCCATGCCTACCCCGGCTTCACCACAAAAAGCACCACTACCAGCCAAATGAATGAATAGTAAAGGCAGCCAAGATAAATCTGAGGTAATGCAATAAACACAGGTAAAATATGTGCCGCTCCTTTGTCACAGTCAGAGTTTAGTAATGTGCAGAGAAAAAAAAGAAAAGAAAAAAAAGCAGGCGGAAAAAAAGAAATGACATCCAAAAATCCTGTGGATAACAAACTACAAAAAGCTCTGCAGGTAATTTGTCACGATAGCAGCTCCCTCTGTGCAAAAGCGAGGGGAAATAGAAGAAAAATCCCCCACTCCTTTTTTGTCTTTAAAGGAGCAAGCACAAGAACAGGACTGAGAGCTGCTGCCTTTGTCTGCTCTGCAACACTGAATATCTGCTGTGAAAGTGCAAAGGAGAAGATGAGCGCAGCACGAAAGCAGGAGAGAGGGAGGGCGTGATGCAAAATCTTGGAGGTAAAAAAAAAAAGGGGGAATTCCATTCCAGTCCTTTATCCCCCAGACCTGCAGGCAAACTCAACACAGTCCAGTGAAACCAAGCCAGCCAGAGTTGAAATAATTCTGAAATAATTCAGTCGGTTTGAGCACAGAACAGCCCGGTTCTGTCTGGCTAAAGCCAACGGTGAACCTGTGGTGGCTCACTTCACTAAAAAGCCCAGCCCAGTATGACTCAATCCAGAAAGGAATTCTGTTCCATCCAGTCACAGCAATTTATCCTTTCTTCCTCTTCCTACATAGAGTGACTGCTGAGTGCAGCCAGTTTATAAGCTACTGATCCTTCAGAGCTGAGCAGAGCGCGAGTATGTGTGACTGTTTGAGAGAGAGCGAGAGGGAGAGATGGGGAGTGTGTACACAATAGAGAAGAGAAAACAGAGAGGTATGGAGGGAGAGAGAGAGAGAGAGAGAGAGAGAGAGAGAG